AGTCTATTCTATGTTGGGGGCGGCTGTCTCCGCTGTTGGGGAGCTTCAAGCCTGTGATTAACTTAGGTGGACCACCTATCATCTGCAGGCGCGGCAGACCTTGGACTTGGGCTTTACACTTGCTGCTTCTTCCTTTCACTCGACCCGAGGAGGAAGCCTATTGCTGATTGCTACCCTGCTACTTGCCTGGATTGGGCCATGCTTCTTCGGGCAGACTAAAACAGATAGCCAAGTATGAGGCCTGCACTATAGAAACAAAAACCAGTAGCATGAAATAAATCGAATAATAATAATTCTACTACCATTAACAGAGGGTGACAAATCGGGCAAGAATTTCCTTCTAAGTTTGCGCGGATTTGCGAACATTCTTTGATCTACTTTCCTGATTTGCAACTTTCCCAGATTATTGGGTCTCTCTAACCTTTCAACTCTCTGCTTTCATCATAAACAAAAAAAAAAAAGACCTTGTAATTATAAACCAAGACAGAGAGGATATTCGACAGCTAGAAAATTTTTGGTTATTTACATTTTGTGCTAAGAATTTGGACCCTTGAAAGAGATTTGCATATCTTCACTTGCTTTATTTTGGTGAATGAAAATGACACGCGTATCTTTTGCACAACGCAAAATCGATGAAGAATTAAAAATCCATTGATGGAGGAAGAAAAGTGAAACTGAAATGAACAGCCAAACTATTGCAAAAGCAAAAGAAGTAAGCTACTTTCGGTAATGCCACGTAACCAACCCCTCCCCTGAACTAGGGAAGACCAGAGGAACAGTGGCCCACGTTGACATCATTGTCATTCCACGTGTAGTAGTTTAAGTGGGCAGAGGAGGCCCAACGTCAGCTTTCCTCTGTTTGTCGTTTTCGGAAAGGGGTGACTCATTATCATTCCCAAAGTCAAATCGTCAAGACAGCGTCGTCATCAGCAAAAACGGGATAAACCTAATCAACCTCCACGTGTACATCTTAGTGATCTAAACCTTTGGTTTGTTTTTTTTGTCCTTGTGAATCACTGCGCTACGTTATAAAAGGAACAAACCGCTCATGGTTGTTTTGAAGAAACTGCAATCAACCGTCACTTACGCACGCACACACACACTCACTTTAACGTTAATATTAACAAAGAGAAGTGTTGTCTCTCTCTCTTTCTCTTTGGTCGGTTATCTCGAGGCAGGTTGGAGTCAGCAGCGGAGTAGGATCAGGAAAGATTTGATAATCCATGTTCGTCAAGAAGCTGGTGGAGAAGGCTTCCAAGAAGGTAACTCAATTTCTTACATACCCTCTATCTCCTCTCTTCCCTCTTCCATATCCTTCTGCTCCTGTTTTTTTGATTTCTTTCACTTGGATTTCTTTGTTTCTCATCTCTGTAAGACTTAGCCCTTTGCTTCCGTTTTCAAAATGCTTATCACTGTTCCCCGGAATGTTTACTTTTTCCCAACATCGTGCTGGGTTTTCATTGTAGATTTGAAGATTTGGGCTCACATTAGTTTAAGCTATATCAAAAAGTGGTCTTGTCTTTGGATTGTTTATATTATTTATATTTGCTTCAGGGGATTCTATGGTTATAAACAATACTTTTATTCTCAGATTTTGATTCATTTTCTTCTACTACTGGGTAGTAATAGCCTTTCACTCTGGATTTCAATGTTTCTTTCTTAACTTTTTTTTTTATTTATGAAAGAGATCATAATTCGGTTTCTCTAGACAGACATAAACTACCTGTTTATGGATGTTATTATCAAATTTCGAGTTTTCAGTTGCAAGAAAGAAACTTTGTAGTATTACAGTGATGTTTTTTGTTGCTGAATCGGCCGTGAAAGAATAGTTAATGATCTGCAACTTCAGACAATGAATTCAAGCATCCTCGCTGGATGAGACTTGAGAAAGCTTACATGGAGAAGTTATGGCAGAGGTTTTGGACTGTCAAACTCATATATTTATCTTAAGATGAAGACTCTGAGTTTTGATTTGAAAGTTTAAAACAGTACCAAATTAACTAGCTTCAAGTCTAGAACTAGATGCTTTGCGTTTTCAATTGGGATTCGCATCCATACTAGTACTGGTGATAGATCAGCTCAAGTTTGTCAGCTTCAAGCAGTTGCGTCTGAGACTGCTTTAACCCCCCCCCCCCCCCCCCCCCTTCTCTGGTTCAATGCGATGAATCCACGCGAAAATGTTGTGCATCATTCACCACCCAATCTCAATAGCAAATGAAATTGATTTCCGAATCCAATACACCTGATGGAAATACTAGTTGAAAGTTGAAACTGCTAAGACTTCGGATTCCCTTCTTTTTATCTACCCTCCCCTGTTAAGACTTAATAAAGTTTCCTTACAGTCTTGGATCTCCATGTCAAATCGGCATCCAACCAACCGTTTACAAAATTTCTCGTAACGGGTATACAATTTTAACGGTTAAAGAAAGAGTTCCCGCCACGTGGGTGTTGCAAAGAAACCTTGTCCTAAAACCGAGGTTTTACTTTAAGGAGTCAACACTGCAAAACGCTTGGTGCTGAGGATCTCTGTGTCTTCAGCTGCTGGCCATGTTTATCTTTTGATTTTGTGCGTGGAAGTTAAAGGAAAAAAATCAGCAGTCAAACCAGTCCATGTGATGGGCGGTGGTATTTTTATTCCAAGTAAGATTGGATGGGCATGGCTGGGACCCCATGATTTTAATGTCCATAAACTGTGTTTTGTCTCCAAGGGGCCCATTTGCAAACAACGACCTTTTTTTTTCATTTTTATAATAAATTGCATGAGATTAGTGGCAGGTATTTCATCCGTGTTGCACTCTGCCTACTCTCTTGTGACCTTCATGCCGTTAAAGCTTGATGAAGAGAAGTCTTAAATATTCCAGCAATACAGGAGTGGGCTACCACATTATCTTAGTTTTTAACAGCAGAGGAGTTCTAACACCCCCTAATTTGGCTTCTTTATTAACATGAATTTATTGTCAATGATAGAGCATTACACTAGGAATAAGGTCAAGCCATTGTAAATATTGATTAGAATATGATACTAAGTTTTTTAATAGTAACTTTCTAGGCATACATTGTTAGAGCTAGCAAGAACATGCATCTGGTTATAACATGCTTTTGACACTATGAACGTTTCTATTGCAGCCTGGAGGAAATTCTGATGGTTTGAAAGCTAGTGATGTTGATCCTCATATGGTATTTCATTATGGGATCCCATTGGGTTGTTGCATGCTTGCTTATGATTCCATTCAAAAGATACTTGCAATATCTACTATGTAAGCTCCCTTTTTCTATCCCTTGAATGGCAGCATTGAATTGCTTGCTTCTGCATAGGATTTACAGAGTGGTATTGCATGGATTTCCCTTTTCATAGAGTAAAGAACAGATACATCTGAAATCTTATTGTAGGGTGGCTTTTTGTTATTTTGTATTTTAAATCAATTTTCTTTCTTCAGGGATGGCAGAATTAAGCTCTTTGGAAGAGATAACTCTCAAACTTTACTTGAATCTGATGACATGGTGCCAAGCAAGTTTATGGAGGTCTTTTGTTACCTTCAATTGTGGCTCTGCCTATTTATACCAACTTATCTTGCATAATGCTACATCAGTATTTCTTGTTGCCTTGTAAAACTTATTTTCATCCTGCAAAGTTGTCTAAATTTAACATATATCATGATTTCTCTTCAGGTCATCCAGAACCAAGGCATCCTTGTAAATGTAAATTATAAGAACCATATCGAGGCAAGTTACTTGCTTGGTTAATTACTAAGTCTGTCTGATTAGATATGGGAGTAGTACTCTAGGCTTCCTCTCATCGGAATTAGTATTGACTAAGTTTTCTTCTTCTTCTTCTTTATTCCCCTTATAAATATGTTTTTTTTTTTTTTAATTGGGGGAGAGGGGGATTCTAACCCTGCTCTTTAAGCGAGGGGACAATGCCCCAACCAATGAGCCAAATGCTCTGGTGCCCCTTATAAGTATGTTTGCTTCTTCTTCTTTTCCTTTCTTTACCCCACGGGAATACATTTTCATGGAAATTTTTAACGCAGGTTTGGGACTTGGACAAGAAGCTCTTATCTCATGTACATGTCTTTAAAGAAGAAATTACTTCTTTCACAGTTATGCAATGCGGTCCCTACATGTAAGTGTATCTAAGGTTCTTAGCTCTATTCCAGGTTGGTTCAACTTTCAAAATATGCAAATGCAGCATTATGTGAAGTTTATTTATGGATGTAATTGCTGAATTTGAAGGTATGTTGGAGATTCTGTTGGCAACATTAAGGTTCTGAAAATTGACCAAGAACTATGCCATGTTGTACAAATGAAATACACTATACCTTTCTCAGCTTCTCATGGTAAGGAGTACTAGGGAATCAGCTTAAGTATTGAAGTGTGCAGTTTAGTATACTGGTGCTGCATAAATCTCTTAACAAATAAAATTGGCAAGGTTCAAGCATTACCTTTAGGATGTTCTTGTTCGCTCTCTAGAAGTGATGGGTGATAATCTTTATGCTTCCCCTGGTCAAGAACACTCTGAAAGGAAATAAAGCATGCTAGTTGATGCTCTGAAATTTGCTAATGGCTGGTTTTCGAGCTACCTACTAAGCCAAACTTCAAAGTGAACTATTTATTTGGAAAAATAAAGCTCCACCATCTGAATTTTGGCCCTCTCTGATTACAGGACATACTTTTTATAGGTTTTCATTCTGTTGCTATTGACCATCCCTTGCATCTATTTTGAGAATTCTTGCAGTTTTCTTCATAATCACATGTCTACTGTTACTGCTATAACTAAATTGATTAACCATCTTGTTTAGGAAATCCAACAGAAGTTGCAGCTGATAGAGCTGTTATCTCCATAATGCCTCAACCAACAGCTGAAAGCAAAAGGTAGTCTTACGTTCTGTTAATTTTTTGTTTACAATTCCAGTTCCTGGCGGATACCATTTTTCCAAGTACCATTGACCCTTATAGTTTGGATTTCTCCCCCCTAAACACTTTTGTGTTTCTATACTTCTTTTCTTTCCCTTTCATTTGAAGTGTAATATGATATCCCAGTGGTGATTATTTTCTTATGTGGTACTCAATTGAATGCAGAATTCTTATAATATTTAAGGACGGCTTCATCACTTTGTGGGAAATTCGAGAAAGCAAAGCTATTTTGGTTGCAGGTGGAATTATGTTCCAATCAGTACATAATGAAGCAAAACATGTGACTTCTGCATGCTGGGTATGCCCTTTTGGTAGTAAGGTTGCTGTTGGTTACAACAATGGAGAAATTCTCATATGGAGCGTTCCTACCTCAAAGCTAAAAAATGAACCAGCATCCGAAATTAGCATTCAAAATGCTCCCATATGTAAACTCATTCTTGGATTTAGATCAGAAAAGATTCCGATATCGTCTTTAAAATGGGCTTATGCCGATGGGAAAGCCACTCGACTATATGTCATGGGTGCCTCTGATGTAGCCTCCACAAGCCTTTTGCAGGTATTTAGATGTTGTCTTATCATTCTCCATGGATGCCAACGTAGCTTATATCTTTTAATATTATGCTTTAAACTTTTTAGCTCAATTAGGAAGGACAAGAGACAACTATCTAGGCATTTTAACATGAAAAACCTTAATCACATTATTGGATGTAATTTTTGACTAGTAAGGTTGTGATGAGGCAGGTAGTCTTATTGAACGAGCATACTGAATCCCGAACAATTAAGCTTGGGCTACATTTGTCTGAGCCTTGTGTGGACATGGTGATCACTTCAAGCACTACTGAGCAAAGTAAACTTAAACAAGATTTTCTCCTTCTGGTTGGCAAATCGGGAAACATATATATGTATGATGATTGCTCAATTGAAAAGTATCTTCTGCAATACCAATCAAGGTCCCCACCCTCCCTCCCCAAGGAGGTAATGTTGAAGATGCCATTTGCAGATTCAAACATTACAGTAGCAAAACTCATCACTGACAACCCTTACGCGTCAAGTTCAGATGAGGTAAGTTAATTGGAATATTATATTTTCTGCCTTTGCTGAAAAGTACGTTGTCGTACATTTTGTTACTGCTGGTGATACATGTTCTCTGGTCTTGCAGGATTACATTCTACTTGCCAAGGATATTCCATCACTTGTTCCCTTGGAGACAAAGTCAAAAGACGGAGGTCACTCAAACTCATACCAATTTAGTGGATTCGGAAAGGTCAAGAACCTGTACATAACCGGACACAGTGACGGAGCCATCAATTTTTGGGATTTATCATGCCCCTTTCCTATACCGATTCTATCACTAAAGCAACAGGTAATATATTTTTAAGAAGCTTTTAGTTTCCTTGTTGCATTAGGTTTGTAAGAAAGCAAGCAACAAGAGTGTTGGAGAAGGATGATTTTAGTTCAAAATATTGGTTTTCTAGATTATTGCAAATTGGTGGAATGGTGCTTTTGCATATTATTCCTATTGTACCTTTTTTCTTAATGCAGAGTGAGGATGATTTTTCTTTGAGTGGTATAGCACTGACTGCGCTGTATTTTGATGGAAACTCACGGATTCTAATTTCTGGTGATCAAAGTGGAACGGTAAAGTCTACTTGGGATAGGTTTTGTTGAATGAAATAATTTTCCTTTTGTTATCTAACTATTTTTTCTTCTGATACAAGTACTGCAGGTTCGAATCTTTAAGCTTAAGCCAGAGCCGTACACAGCAGAAAACAGTTTCATCTCTTTCCAAGGTATAGTTAAGCATATCATTATACTAGAAGATTTTTAAGTTGGGTTTAGAAGTTGTTGCATTATGTATAGTTCATCTTCCTGCTCTTTTATTCAGTTGTTTGAGCTACAAAATAATCTTTTGCAATGGCTTTGTTTTCTTAAAAGTTGAAACACCTGCAAGCATGAAAGGCAGTTTGGCCATTTATAGGAAATATAACCTGGAAATGGCCACCCTGATATTTTCCTTTGTTTTTTCACTTTTTGTTTAATATTTT